GCTTAAAGGAGATGGTTATTTCCTAAGTGTAACGTTTCTTAATATCCTCAGTGCATCTCTCACGTACGTCTAGTCAGGAGTGCTGTCACAAATGTGAAAAAAAAGTGAGTTGGGAAGAAGCAAATGAACATTTACTAAGGGCCTACTCTGTGCCCAGTGCTTTCTTCGACATAATTTCATTTAATTCATTTAAGCCTTTTGAGGTGTGTTCTCATCCCCATTTGCAGGTGAGGAAATGAGACACAGAGAGGTTAATCTGCGCACGGCCTTGCGAGAGCCAGCATGGCAAACGCAGGCCTGTCCGACCCCAGGTCTGTGCTGTCTGTCTTCTCCATGCCCTTCTCCCTTCTCATTAGTAACTGCTTTCACAAAGGGAAGAAAGAAGACCATTGGGCCTCCAGAAGAGTGGATCCCATGAAAGACACTCACATCTGGGGTGAGAGGTTATGACACCTGGCTGTAAAGGCACTTTCAGTTTATGAGAAAGAATAAAACCAACTTTGCATTTTAAGAAGAGTGCTGGTGTCCAGAGGGATCATCTTAATTTGAGGTGGCAGGTGTCACTTCCCTCAAGGCATAGAAAACATGATTTAACCACTGGACAACTTTGCTTCACAAAGAATGTCATGATTGGTTAAGTGCACATTAGTACTACTGATATTAAAAGTGTACTTAACTATCCTACTGAAGGAGACAAAAAATCCACAACATTATCAACATGCCTAGTTTAGAAAGCATTTGTCATTTTTGGCTGAGGTGGATAGTTGAGGGCATAAGGTAAGGGTTATGTGTGTGCATGTTTATATATAAAAGTGTGTGTGTGTGTGTGTTTGTGTGTGTAGGAGAAGAGATATTGTGGTGTTGGGGGAATTCACCTTGAACTTCAATTTGGTTTCTAATTCATGCTAAAAAGAGTATCACTTCTTACTGATTTCTGAACCATAGAAAGCTAGCTGCCTCTTTTCTTTCATTTGATTTCTTACCACATTTGTACTTTCTCTGAGGGAAGGATCATTATTAGGATAGACAGGGAACAGTAGAAAGCTGAATAAAAAGAGGAAGATGTTGGATTACTGAACTGAAATGTTGTCTTGGCACATAACTTCCTTCAAAGCTCTTGAATCTTTCTTTTCTGTAATTTACCATATTGGATTATAGGGAAAATAAGTTGACCAAGGATGTGAGAAAGTAAATGGGAGTTATTGGAGAATTGATAGCTTTGTAAAAAGTTTCTCAAATAGGATTAGAGGTTTATGCTTGCACTTAACACTGAAAGAAAGGTTTATGCTTGCAACTAGAACTGGATTGGCATCTAACTTCCATTGTAAAAGCAAATTAACTATTTTAGGCTGTGAAATGAAGTTTATATTAACAGACCTGGCAAGTAATCACCTAGTGTTTGTCTCTTAAAAAATGATGTATTTTAGCCCCACCAGGTGGCTGCCAACACTGTGGATGAGACAGGCTGACATCCACCAGGAGGAGGGGAAAGCTGCTCTTGATTTTCTTTGTGCATATCGGAGCCTACAACATGATAATTTAGTGAAGGACAAAGGAGTGAGCCCACTGCACATTTTTCTAGGAAGTCTGGCAAAACACACACACACACACACACACACACACACACACACCCCCCTCAAGATCACTTGACTCATTTTTGACATAGAAATACCTAAATGCCATAGACAGCTTTCTGTTGGGTTAATTGTGCTACAGATCCATATATAGTTGCGCCCTCATTCTGGCTATTATTTTTGGTGTTCCTAAAAGGACAGAGCATACTTTAGGTCCATAGGTTAGTTTTGGCTTGTGACTACTAGAGACTCAAGTGGGATCCATTGTACATCACCGTGTAGTAGAAAAGAATGTTGGTGACTTGAATCCAGTTTTAGCCTCTGCTCCTATTAGGCAAGTGGCTTCTTTTTTTCCTGGGCCTCAGTTTTCTTATCTGTAAAATGAGTGAATTATATTAGCTGATCTCCAGAAACCTTTAGCCATGTACACAATTTGAATGATTTTGTTTTAATTTGAAAAAAATAAACTTGTTAAGCATTTGAAAATCAAATAGAAAACATGAGGGAAGAAAGCTATATTCAGTGTAGACATTTATATTTTTTAAATTAAACTCTACATTATGATATCGATCATAAGAGTTGGAATGAAACAGTCTTCACTGTTCTATCCTTAGTTGTAAGATGGCACAGATGTGATAATAAAGTCCATATATAACCTTGAAGAAAGCATCTGATTACACATAAAATGTTACCAAAAAAAAAAAACCTGATAAGTAAATTGAGCTATCAACTTGTTTTAGGCAGCACAGAGAATAAAACAAAAACCAAAGCCCACTAGCTCCTGAAACACTGAAATGTGAAATTTATATTCCCAACTTAATGGTTCCATTCCTATCTAGGTTTGGAGAAAAGAGAAGGAAAAACTTCATCTGTGTTAAATAAGTATCTTAATCATTTGAAAATGAAAGTATAAAATTGAAATTGTAAGCACTTCGAGTAACAAACATTGGTATGTTCTTTTGTGTTCTTAACATTAATAAAATGAGCCATCATTAATGGATCTAAATATTTTAAATTGCAGTTAGTAATTTTAAATTGCAGTTAGTGATGCCATTTTAATTGATTTTTTATTTCTCATGTTGAAGAGCAAAGAAAGCATAACCCCAGTTTTTTTTATTCCAGTTTTTAACAACCAATTTAGGAAATATCAAGAACCGACTGTAGCAACGATAGGAATATTAGTCCCCCTGCCTTTGTACTTTGCCCCTTAGCAACAGGCGAATTCATTACTGTATTTTATTCTTTGTGTTTCCCTCCTTTGAAAAATACTCATTTTGCTATTTTTAAAAATTACCTGTGAATGAAATTTACCGTTAAAAAATTAGTTCATACTTTTTTTTGCTTTTCTCCTTGGTTTACTTTCTTTCTATGTGTATTTACCAGCATATTGTGGCATGTGTATTAGTTGTGCCAGTATTGAGCTCTTAGAAACACAGCCACGTGTTGCTATGCCACCTTCTTGAAGTTTGGAGTGTTAGATTTGAATGCAATGTAGACTTTAATCTAGTTTTTGTCTTTTTCTTTTTCTTTTTTTTTTTTTTTTTTTTTTTTTTTTGTGGCAGAGTCTCACTCTGTCGCCAGGCTGTAGTGCAGTGGCACGATCCAGGCTCACTGCAACTTCCGGTTTCAAGCAGTTCTCCCGCCTCAGCCTCCCAAGTAGCTGGGACTACCGGCACGCACGACCACGCCCGGCTAATTTTTTGTATTTTTAGTAGAGACGGCGTTTCACCACGTTGGCCAGGATGGTCTCCATCTCTTGATCTCGTGATCCACCCGCCTCAGCCTCCCAAAGTGCTGGGATTACAGGCATGAGCCACCTCGCCCGGCCTGATAGTTTTTGTTTTTCTGTGAAACATTTACATAAAAACAATGTCTTTGATTTTAATAACTTACCTGTTTCTCCTATTTCCCACCTGAAATTGACTTAATGTTCCATAAGGGACTTAGCAGCTGGTTGCTGTGGAACTGACTGACACTAAGTACTGTAAAAGATTATGACTTCAGGTAGAAATTAAGTAGAAAGACCTGCTGATTTCTTAAAGAGATGGGATACACTCAGATTTTCAAATATTGACATAGAGGTTCTATTAATTTAAGAGTAACAATTCTGTTTTTGGTGAAAAAAATTTTTAAGTTACTTTCATGATATGTTTTATATCAAAGATAAAGCTTTATTTATTTTTTTGTTAAAAAAAGGCCAGCCTTTCATTTTTCAGAAGATTAGTTCCTCTTAACCACGTGATGAAACTTTACTAATGAAGAATGCATGTGTGTATACACACATACTTTATACGTAATTCCTAGCAGTCTTTTGGACTAAATAATTTCCCCATTATCTTTATGTTGAGCAAAAATGATGGCAGCTTTTCAAACATATAATGTTAGCTCTGGGATTTAAAATTTAATTTCTAGTTTTCAGTGTCTTGCTAATTATGAGTTTGAGGCACATTTCATTATACGTTCATCTTAGGTTGCATTGATGAGGAGTTTGTGACTGTTTTTCTTTGTAGTCTTCTGATAAGTCAATGAATGGCATGTCATTTTACTTCTGTAAGCTCATTTTCCACGTTTGTATAAAGTAAAGGTTGTGGTTATGGGTGTGAGAGATGGGAGTTTAGGTTAGAACAACTTCTAATTTCTCTTTCAGTTGTAAATATTATATAACATAATGGAAGCAAAATGCTTCCATGGCTACATAACCATGTCTCTATTTAGTTGTTCATCATTGATTTGTCTCATACTATGAGAATTTCCTAGTGTATATATGCTACACATAGATTTCTGAAAGATTTAGTTATAATCTAGAATATTTACGGTAATTTGCTTGGCTATTACACATTTAAAATTTACCAGAATTGTCTTGATCAAAAAAGAATTTGGGTTGGCTTTCAAAGAATGTGAGCAGGGCTGAATATAAATAGAATTGGGGTCATATATCAGTATCCATTCTTTTATTTCCTTAGCTGCATTAATGTGTAAGCATTCAGTATAAGAAATATATTTAGCTCTTCTATTTTAATAATGATTTAGCCTTAATCCTATCTTCCTTTTAGTTTGCAATAAGTACAAAATAGTTACAAACTCTGGAAGATCGTTACAATCTACATCCCATGAAGTACTTAAGCAGTACAATTAATACTGTTGTCATTCTTTGTCTTCTACTTGCTTTTTTTCTGGATATTTGGTTATGACTTTTTTCCTCTACTGCTGTCTAACCTAGTTCACAATGATTTTTGTGTTCTTAAAGAGAAAAAGTCAATGACTTAAATTATATCACCATAACTTTTATAATCAGATGATCAGAGAAGATAGGATTAAAGCTAAGAAATGCAGGGTCCTTTGAAATCCTCACATAAAAGGAAACAGCAAAAGTACCAGCACTTTACAAAACCAATATACATCGATAATTTTGTCATTTATTTTTAGATATCCTTGGAACAGAAGATCTTACTGTGGAAGTGACTTCCAATGATGCTGTGAGATTCTATCCCTGGACCATTGATAATAAATACTATTCAGCGGACATCAATCTATGTGTGGTACCAAACAAATTTCTTGTTACTGCAGAGATTGCAGAATCTGTCCAAGCATTTGTGGTTTACTTTGACAGCACACAAGTAAGACTTTGTTTTCTATGAAGACTTGAATAATAAATTATTGCATTCATTTTCCAGCCCCCCTACATTTTATCTTACTGTCTCTTTTCTGTTTTTGTGTATATTTTTTGTTCCCTCTAGAAATCAGGTCTTGATAGTGTCTCCTCATGGCTTCCACTGGCAGAAGCATGGTTACCTGAGGTGATGATCTTGGTCTGTGATAGAGTGTCAGAAGATGGTAAGGCATATGGTTGGGATAGTAGTTGGTACATGCATTTGCCATTCCTTGGTAGACAGAGTACATCTGTTTCCTTAACTTAGGACAGTACATTCCATGTGACTTTATTGCTTTATGAAAGTATTTTCAGCTATTTTTCTTTGGAATCTTGTAATATTTACTTTTTTTCTTTAAAGAGTGATACTTCAGGGCTGAGAAATCATTTTATTATTTTAGATGCCTTTAGAATAGCATCGACATTAAGGGAAACACATTGAGATTTGTGGAGAATATTGCAGGAGTAGTCACGTTTTATTTTCTTTTTACTTATGAAGATTCTATTGCTTATTATTTTAGGTGTAAACCGACAAAAAGCTCAAGAATGGTGCATCAAACATGGCTTTGAATTGGTAGAACTTAGTCCAGAGGAGTTGCCTGAGGAGGATGGTAAGTGTTTATGTGTTAGCAGAAAACATGGCACTTAGATTCAGATATGAGAGATGATTTTAATTCAGAGAAGAAGAATCACAGCAAAATTTAAGAAACTTTTTTCCCCTAGCTGTTTCAAAGATTTAAGCAAAATCCATCGATGTAGTCTTACACTTAGTATAATAATTCATTTATTTGGTTTTACCACCTATTTTAGGACTTTTGAAAATGTCTGTTTTTCTTATGGATAAAGGTATAGGGCCGCTCTCTAAAATCTTTGTCATTTCCGCAATTCTTTATCCTTTCCTAACCAAGAAGGAGGGTTAGACCTTCTTGGTAGTTAAAGTTGATGTTTCTTATTTTGAATTCATAGTAACCTAAGGCTGAATTCCCAAGAATCCCAGGGGACATTTCAGATCTCTTTGAATGGTTTTGGAACGTTCGAAGCCAAAAACAGACCCACATTTGACTCCCTACTTCCACCCCATGTAGCTCTGCAATTGCTGTTGCTGGACCTTCTATTTCTTCCCCTCTTCTACTTCCCTTCCCCATTTCTTTTCTCATCCTTTCTCGTTTGAAGTACACCTGTTGTGGGATCTACCAGGATAAGACAGTTTTTGGTTCACCAAAACATTATAATCTGGTACAAGAGATGAAACTTACATGCAGATAATTCAGTTACCAAGTGGAATGTCATAAATATTATAGAAGAAATAGTGGTGGTGTGGTATTTTAGAGACAGGAGAGCTTATTTGTGTTTAAAAGTGCAGAGATGGTGTTGGCATTGTGAACTGTCACATGTCAGCTGCTCCATGGGGAAGAAGTTAGAAAAAAATCCTCGGCTTTTAGTGAGAGGACCCGTGTAGAGGTGGCATTGTGAAGATACCAGTTGTTCCAAAAGGCATTCTGGGCAGGGGCAACCAACGTGAATTACAATACATAGATAAGACATAAGCAGTCATTTCATGAAACCTGTATTTTTTTAAGGAATTAGGAAATATCTTTCTATATTCTGGTTTTATGTACAATTTTTCCAAAATATTACGTTTGAGAATAAAACCTGCTAGAAGAGAACAAAACCGAAATAAAAAGGTTGGTTTTTCTCTTTGCCTATTTTAAAGAATGTTGAAAATAAGCGAGTACATCTTCTTTTTCTTTGTTTTTCTAGATCACCTGAAACTTAGGCCCTGTTTTGTGTATGTGAGCCTGTGTGATTTCTGGCACTGGAATTTACTTTGTCTTGTCCTTGCGAGTCAGTATTTGACTGTTACCATTTTGGAATCTCTGCTCCTTCATACCATTGTGTTTCTCATAGCCCTTTGTCTGAATAATGTTCTTGTATTAATTCAGCTTAATCTTTTTTATTTTTGAGATGGAGCCTTGCTCTGTCGCCCAGGCTGGAGTGCAGTGGTGTGATCTCGGCTCACTGCAACCTCCGCCTCCCAGGTTCAAGCAATTTTCCTGCCTCAGTCTCCCAAGTAGCTGGGACTATAGGCATGTGCCACAATGCCTGGCTAATTTTTTGTATTTCTAGTAGAGATGGGTTTCACTGTGTTAGCCAGGATGGTCTCGATCTCCTAACCTCGTGATCTGCCCACCTCAGCCTCCCCAAGTGCTGGGATTACAGGCGTGAGCCACTGCATCTGGCCCAATTCAGCTTAATCTTAAAATGGGTGTTTTGATATGTCATCTTCAGGTAAGGTAATGAAAACCTTCCTAGACTTTTAAAATACAAACTATTCCTAAGCCATACTTCCTCATCTTTTGCTTGCATGTATTATTCAAATGTGAATATAGGACTTTATGGTAGTTTGTATTAATTTTCATCTTATTGGTACTAGCTCTTCATTTCAGACCACATTTTTGATCCTGGTTATATCATCTAAAATATTATTCTTTTGAGAATTAAGTCATTCACAGTTAAGATAAACATGATTTTTAGGTCTTCATCCAAACATTGGTGGTGATAAACTTACCTTGGTAGAGTATTTTCAATTTAATGACTATATTTCTGTTAGGTTGGTGGGTTGATATTCTTTAAATGGCTCATCAGCCCATTACAGTTGCCGAGTGCTTACTGTTTTTCAGGCACTGCTAGGCAATGGGCATATGAGCTCAGTTAGACAAGATTCCTGCGGTCACAGTGCAGGGGGAAGGTAACACCAGTAAATTACCACTTCCAGTGCGTCTTTCCTGTAGGAGAGATGTGCGTAGTGTGGTGTTGTTTCCACTGTCTTTGAGAATGGGATAAGTGAGCCCTTGATCAAATAGCTAATAAGTGGCTGAGCCTGGGTTCAGATTCAGATATTCTGACATCTAACTGTGTTCTTCTTGATAAACCACCCAGGGCAAGGCTGGCCCCTAGAGGCAGGTTCTGTGTGGATATGTTCTGTAAACTCTTAGGAGACTTTTCTTTTTTAACCACATGAAAACTATTTCTGTCATTATTTTGCAGATGCAGCCTTATAATCCTCAACATCTGCAAGGTCTCCATTTCATTTTTACACAAACATTCCTATGTTGTGGCTAAGAATACCACCTTTTTGGTACACTATGGGATTACAACCCTGTTATTTTGAGTAGTGTCAGGCAAATTCCAGAAGCAGGATGATACTAATAATAAACTAAACTGAGTTGTTGTAATGACCCTTTGCCTGTCTCGTGCACTTGTAGTCATTTCACTTCTCACTCAATCTACCTTTCTTGATCACAAATAACACTTATTATTCTGTGGCTTCAGGCAGAGGATAGTGCATTTACATGATTTTATGGCTTGCTATTAACACGAAGACTCTTCTTGCCTTCAGGAGACTCATTCTGTATAGATTGGTATCTCTAGTACTATGCTAGGAATGTGTGTAACAAGTGGAATCTTACATTTTCAGAATATAAATAGATTCCATTGGTGGGGATAACTTTGTTATATAACTGCCTTATATTTTATGTTTATCTGTTTTAGTTTCTAGAACATTCTTTTTTTCCATAGGAACGTTTTTAGCTTACTAATCTTCTCATAAAAAAAAATCCATAACGGCCTCAGATAACATCATTGCGGCATCTTTACTCCTTGGGCTTTTTGCCAGCACTAACACTGGCCTTTGCAGCCCGCCTGACTTTCCTCATGCCGTTCTTGCGTTCCTTTCATTGCTTTCTTGAGCTCTTTTTCTTCTTACATAGGCCATGTCTTGTAAATCTACGTTTGTGTTCGTTTTCGTTTGCACAGTCCAAGGAATCATAAATTATGCCAAAGCCAGTTGTCTTGCCACCATCAAAATGAGTTCTGAATTCAAATACAAAGATGACGTCTGGTGTGGTCTTGTACACAGTGGCTACTTTTTCCCGAATTTCTGTGTTAGGTAGTGTTGCCTTCCCGGGGTGAAGGACATCAATGACCATTTGTTTTCTCTGATGTAGTTGGTTGGTCATGAACTTTCCAGCTTGAACAGTTACCGTGTCGTTCAGGATGGTGGTCAGTCCTCAGACAGCCAGAGGGGAAAAGAGTTTTTCTGGAATATTCTTATCACGAGCTCCAAGCTCTGTATTTATTTTTTTCCTTGTATGATGTGAACATACAGCTAAACAAGATAACAAAACCACAGTCATTTGAAAATATAGCTCAGGGGATATATACAGGCATTTTTATGAATGTGTCAGTGTTGTATATAAATATATATATATTTCCCCTCCCTGATTAGATGACTTCCCAGAATCTACAGGAGTAAAGCGAATTGTCCAAGCCC